GCAATGTTATAATGCTATTATTTTATCGGAGCTACAATTTAAGAGCGATTCCGCTAGAGGACCACCCTATTGCGACGGGGAAAACTTAAAAAAATTTTTTTATTATCTCAAATGAAAGACCGAGACTAACGATAGTTAAATTCAAAATATTAAATCAGTTGGCTTTGCCTATGAAAAATGGCAGCAAAAACAATTTTAAACAGTCGCTTTTGACCCTAGAAAATCACTGTTTTGAGAGTATGGTCAGTATTTTAACATTTTCGCAGGAACGATCCAAGTGTTTGAGCTTGGAGAAGTCTCATTTTGTAGGAAATAGTTCAGTTTACAAATTTATCCTATTTAAATGACCAACAAATGGGATTAATGAATCGCTATGAATCATACTTAGAACCGGACCGGCCGGTCCGGTCCGGTCCGGTCCAGCTTCTAAAACCGGCAAAAACCTGTGTGGACCCGTTTGACCGGTTTTTTTACCAAATTTTAGGGCAAGAAAACTAAATTAGTGTATTTTGCTCATTTGTATTGATTTTCATGACTTCAAAGATCAACATATATGAGTACGAACATTTTTAACGTTCAAATTTATAGTTATCATAAAACTTCCAGCTCTAAATTTCAACCGGCCGGTTCGGTCCGTTTGAAAAAAACTTGACCGGTTCCAAGTCTGCTATGAATCAAAAATTGTGCGAAATTCGAATATAAGTACCCTCCAAAATGACGATAATTTGGACATTTTTTAGCAGACATAGATCTCAATGAGACACATCTTTTGGTATTATATTGCTCGAGGCAAAATACTCGGGGAGCACTTTAGCATCATACATATTAATACCTGTCCTACCTAGTACCTAATGATCACAGCCGCAAAGTCATAGTTTTTTCAAAAATTGTACAGATTGCCTTCAGATTCGTGTTTAACGTGCAAAAACAGGTATAAAAAGTTATTTTTAAAACGTTTTACGTTTGGATATAGCTTAGTAATGATTATAAGTGTATTTCATACATTTGTGGATAAAATGAGAGAAAACTAGGTGTCAGTATTTTGGCAACAACTATCCAATGGTAAACGCTATTAAGTTCGAGTTTTCACCGTTCGATAGTAAATTTCAAGCGCCGGAAAACTGTTTATTTTCCAAAATGAAAAACTGTGTATCACGTGGAATATATTTAACCGCATTGTGTTCATGGTATGATTTTTACGTTTTTCATCATTTTGTGGCTCGTATTCTATCGTAAAAGAACAGATTGACTCAAAACTAGTGTCATATTCATGATCAGTATTCAAAATTGAGCCAATTAGAGTAGGTGTTTAATGTTTTCAAGGACTTTCATTTTTCAGTCAAAAATTCATCCCTTCTGCTCTCCTCAGGACTTCCCAAAAAACGATTTTTCTCAAAATTCTGATTTTATTGGTTTTTCTTCTTTCGCTTTACTTCCACTAACATGCTACATCCTCGATTATATCTTTTCTGCCAACGGAAATTTTTTTTGACGATGATAATCTTTTTATGCACTCCTGGAGGGGATCAGTGGTCAATTTTTCACTGAAAAATGAAAGTTGTTAGAAAGACTTAAAATCATTGCCAATTGACTCAGTTTTTGGCGCTGATCTCGAATATAACATTAGTTTTCGGTTAATCCTGCTTTTTTTAATGATAGCATACGAGCCACAAAATGATCAAAAACATAATAACGGGTGCGGCATAAAGAACGATCTCATCCATATTTTGAGAATATCTCAACTATTTTCAACACAGAGAGTCGCGTCTGGTCTCAAACGATTTCTCTTTAAATTGTCTACAAAACAAGTCTTTTTTATTTAGACAAATAATCTCCACCATTATCTAATACACGGGACAAACGACAGGTCCAACAAAACACAACTTTCCCGAACGACCTCAGGTCGGATTAGATGAACAGCTCGTTTCAATTGAGGATGTGAGGAGTGTTTTCGATGTGATACGATTCCACTGAATAGACCGTGTTAGTTCATTCCAGATTAAATAATTCAAAGGGTTCACGTCAGAGCTGTTTCCTGGTCAACGATCCTTGTAAAAAAAGAGGGAACATTGTCCCGACACCACTGTTGAGTTAAATGATGCCTGTGGGTCTTACACCATCTTGTTACCATAATCGGCAGTCACCGGTAGAACCTCTTGAACATATCGGTCGTGATCACCGGATCTATCTTCGAACATCATCAAAGGTGTCACACCCTTAGAACAGACCCCATCGATGTCGAACATTTTCTCATCTGAGCAAAGAATACGACGAACACTCCGCTCTGATATCTTCAATTCGCAAGCAAGCTTTCATGTAGATACAGGTTCCTTTCGCTTCAAACGATCTTTGACCTTTTGGATAGTTTCCTTGTTTCGAGCCGTCCGTAATCGATTTAAAGATTTGGATGAATCGATGGAGCCGGTCTCAGACATCATCTTGCACCATGTTCTGATTGTTCAATAACTGACGACACCGCTAAAATCCCGACAGACTCTGGCTGAAATTTCACCGTTATGTCGTTTTGGAAAAGCTACTTTTTGTATATCTTTACTTTTCCCGTTCTGAGAAATCTCGCATGAAATGAATCGCTTTCTTTTCTCCCCAGTTTTATAGAGCATCGAAAGACGACTCTTTTTATACCAGGTCCAGTCCTCTACGTTGGACGATGGTTGAGCTATTCGAAAAATACGGAAGAGGTCATTCCTTATGCCGCACCCGTTAAATACTTTGTTTACTTCACTTTATTTACCTAAAGAAGAAGTAAGGTAAATGTGGCACCCTTACCTTGATGCTTTTGTGCATTTCGTTGTTGTTCTGCGGCACATATCACATCCGTATGATGTTCAGCAGCATCTCGTCGCTTATAACTGATATTGCAGTCTTTACATGTGAATTCGATCAACGGGCAATCATCCACATGTTTAGTCAGATCCTTTTTCAAGATCTGTGCCTGGCAACCACGACATTGTTGAGGTTGATAACCACACTGTTCTTCATGTTGACGTACTATCTTGTATAAAATAACCTAGAACAAAGCATTGATGAAAGCAAGGAGTAATCGCTTTGATGGCATCACCGACATATCAACACAGGGGGGGGGGGGGGGGGAGACTCTAGTACACTGTAAAAAAAAAGGTATTTTACCGAACCCTCCAAAAAGGTTTCGTAGGTGTCTAAAAGCTTCCAAATGCGTCC